AAAGAAGTTCAAAATTTATGAAGGTTAAAATGCCCAAATTTTTTTAATTACAAGGTTATATGCGTGATATTTTTAAAAAGGAGAGTGTTAGCTCAAATTGAGCTTTGTGTAGTTTCGTTGCAACCTCGGATTCTGTTCTTCCTGAAAAGATAAATCATAATGAACACGATATTTATCAATTAGATGCATGCTTTTTCAACAGATCTAGAAGAATTACACAAATGCGCTACATAAGTTTGGAAATCCATTTTCAGAGTTTGGAAATCTATTTTCATAACATGTTTGTGAATTAGTCAAAGTGGCTTATAAGCCACTTTTATGGCCTATAAGCCAGTAAGGGCATGTTTGGCATACACATATTTTTGGCTTATAAGCCCAAAAAATATAAACTGGGTAACCCAGCTTATTTTTAGGTATCTTATAAGCCCTAAAAAATATAATCTGGGTAACCCAACTTATTTTTAGGTGCCTTATAAGCCACATAGTTCGACCAAGTAAAAGACCCTTATACCTCTTAAAATTTAAGAAAGTTCAAAAACGCTATTCCCTATCTCCAACTCTTGTTTTGTCAGTTTGACAACAAAGATAGACTATAAGCCACTCGTTTGATAAACATTCAACTATTAAAAATGGATTATAATCCATTAAATATTGGATTATATCCACTTGAATTATAAACCATTTATAGATTATAAGCTAAATGGATTATAATATAAAGTTGCCAAGCAGAGCCTCAATCATTTGCAACTCTTCTCTTGGCATAGCCCGATCTTGGACAACATGACATGAGGACATCTAATATCAGTCACTACCAACAAATTAAAGAGTGATATTAGAAAAGAGATACAAACCTACGTCCAAGAGGACTTGATGAATCTATACAACTAGGGGACCTAATGTCAATCATATGAAGGGCTAATTTTAAAATAACTTAACAACTAGGGGACCTAATGTCAATTTCAATAATATAAAGGGCTAAATTTAAAATAACTTAAGAACTAGAGGACTTGATGAATCTATACAACGCCTACTAGGCAAAGTTGTGATTCTTGACTTTGTAAAGTCTGCAAAGGATCTTGCCGACCCTTTGACTAATGGTTTATCCAGGAGTGTGGTTCTGGATTCATCGAGGAAGATGAGTTTAAACCCATAAATGAGGTCACTGATAGTGGGAACCCAACCTTTATTTGGAGACGAAATCCCAATGTAGGTTCAATGTGGTAGAAACAAGCTGTACTAGTGACACTCGTGTGGAGCATTGACCTAGATATATTTATATATTATTATATAGCATATGCTACTACCCCTTCTCTATGGTGACGATGCTCTTATGATATAGGTGATTAGGCTGATTTTTACTTTTAATAAGTCTAACGCGTGTATTGCGGAGGGTATGATATCTAGCTATAGTATCATTGGAGGACTTACCTACGTGAGAGGAACCGTGATGACCGCGGTTGGGGGGGGGGGGATGAGCTAACCCCTAGAAACTCTCATGAGTTGGTTTATTGTGAGCATGACCTTTTATGCTCAACCCGCTTTGCTCAATAGATGAAGATATATTGTGTGTGTTTTCGTCAATACTGGTTAAAGGGCCTAACTCAAGGCCTAGTCCATTATGTCCCTCAGGTGGCGATGAACTCAATAAGGAAAGATTCAAAGCTGAAAGCTAGCTCTCCCGAATTCATGATACAAAAGGTTGCTCAACCTATATATGTTTTGTGATTTATTGATTTTGAGTTTTCAGTCAAATATTGCATTTTGGGGGGGACTGTTGGATTTTTTATTGGAGAAAAGGCAATTTGCTTTCATGAATAGTCCCACATGGAATAGTGTTATGAATAGTAAGGGGTTTAAGTTGCTTTACCTATTATTGGGCTTTGAATAGTGTCTTGGGCTTTGTATTATTTGGGCTTTGCATATCACACGTGGGCGCGCAAGCACGCCTCGCCACGCCGCGACGCGCGCGCCACGCCGCACCGCGTGCGCACGTTTTTCTCATTGAAAACGTGCGTAACGGCTTTACAATTATGGAGAAACGTTACAAAAATAATGGCTAACGTTACCGAATTTATTGAGGGGTTTGTAACGACTATCTAAAAGCCTATATATACATCATTTCTCTTATTCGGAATATAGAGTAATTCTCTTGTTTCTCTTCTCTCATATGCATATTATTTTCTTCTATATTTTTGGTTTTATTTTTTGGGCAACTTTCTTCATCTGAGCAGAAACCCCGTTCTCTCACCCCAGTACAGAGGCCATCCGCTTTCGGGGATTTTTACCGCTAGGGGAGAGAGGATCATCTGCGTCAGGGCGATATGTGGGTCCTTAATACTCTAGGGCAATGATTACACGACTGCTCCAATTCATGCCAGATTATATTGTTTTATCTTATTCGGATTTATCTCCATGCTATAATCTTATTTGACATTTTTTCCAACACATTCTTCTAACGTGAAAAAATTATATTTTATTGACACTTCTTAGGTTGTGAATCTCTGACCAAAATCAAATATCATATTCGAGCACCTTATAATTTGTTTTCCAACATCATAAAATATAAAACTTTGATGAGCAGGTGTGATGAACTTGTTTTAGGCGTTAAAGGCTACAAAAGTCCATAAAACCATTCATGTTCCATCTAATAAGAAATTTATCAAAAAGAGAAGTTTATTAGGCATGTAGTCTTGAGCCCAAACGACCACCCAATAGATTCGCACGGATGCTTGAAATATCAGCCCTTACCGGAGCTTGGTTGGTGTTAGGTGTCAGAATGAAGACGAGCAACAATGACGAATTGATCTTGAGGGAAAAAAGCGGTGGGCTGTCTTCGCAGGTTGGGGGAAAATATATTTTTTTATGCAAAAGAGCACCTATGGTGTAAAAAAAAAAATATTGCTGACGAAAATAAGAGTGCTGTTACGGGGACCCAAAATATGGGACCAAGAGAGGGGACATGTGATTTGTCCCATCCCTATTGCATAATGAGTTGGTCATGCCAACTCATTATGCAATAAGGAGGAGACACATCACATGTCCCCTCCATTGGTCCCATATTTTGGGTCCTTAAATCATTTTCCCGAAAATAATATGCGCAAAATAAAAAGGGATTGCAGAGATAGATTTTAGTGGAAAAAGGTGAATAAATAGAGGTGCTTTTGTTCTAAAATCATAGTCTTCTCTATTGGTTAGTGCCTGGATTGTAGAGGTGGGGATGAGGTGAGCTTCAATTAGTCCTCTTTAAAGGGGTTATGTAGAGTGACGGAGCTAGGAATTTTCTCTTGAGGACTAAGAATCCAAGAAGCATAAATTCCTTTTTTATTTATTTCATAAAAAGAGAATATTAACTTCAAACCACATTTGTATGTTTTCTCCTTCAAAAAATTTCTAATTATAATGGATCATATTCCAAATGCATCCATTTCAGGCTTCTTTGACGGATCGAAGAACGTTTAGTGGGAATTGAAGAATCAAGATTTTGCTCTATATGATCGTTAATCTGAGGGGGAGAAAAGAAAAAGGGAAAAAAAGGAGCAACAATCAAAATTCAAAACTTTAAACTCACGAAATGGTCGGGGTTGGGAACCCCGATCATTTCGAAATAGGCCATTTCGGATTGGTCGGGGTTCCCAACCCCGACTAATTAGTTAATGGGGAACCAATCCGAAATTCTACGGACAGACTAAACAGTCGGGGTTGCCAACCCCGACTGTTTACAAAAACGTTTTAAACTTAATCGACCCGTTTTCTCGTCACGATGCTGACGTGACGAGAAAGTGGGTCGATTTTCATAAATAAGTTGAGAATGAGTCGGTTTTAGGGATTAAATTTGGAAATGGTTTAAAGTGAAAATTTCTTGGCTAGAAAAACCCTTGCAAAAATCTCCTTTGTAAATAAAATATTTAGAAACTTTACGCTACTTCAGTGTATATATATCCCCTTAAGGGGCTGTTTGGTTCGTTTCCTTGATATAGAGAAATGCAATTTCATGTAAAGAAACACGAGTTTTGAGTTTTCCAAACTTTTCCGAGAAATAGATTGTTTTGCTTTGGTTCGCACATAAAAAATGATGGGAAACCAATGTATTTAATTTTCTTGTGTTTGGTTCGCATAGAAAAAAAAGAAAAACTTTTGTAAACAAAGCAGAGAAGGAAAAAAAATTTGACGTGGCAGAGTTTTCATTAATTTCACTTGGTTAGGGAAGGAAATCGGAGAAGGAAAAACTCTTAGTTGGCGGCGATTTCAGCAGAGTTTTTTCTCTTCCATTCGAGCGAACCAAAGCGGCACAAAGAAATGGACGGAAAAAAAAAACTAATGGAGGGTTAAAAATCTGACGTGGAGGGTTTTCTGAGTTTTCCAACCCTTATAATAGCGAACCAAACGGAACCTAAAAATAATCCAGCGCTCGCAATCTCCGCAACGACAATCCAGCGACCCTCTCCTTTGAAAGCGCCGTCTCCTCCCTTTCATCTCCCCACGCCGTCCGTTCCCCTGTCTCCTCCCTCTCCCTCCTAAACCCACCCCTCCTTTTCTTCCCCTTTCACCCACCCGCCTACCCGAACCCTCTCCAATGGCAGCAAACAAGAAGAGAGAGCGAAACCTCATCGCATACACCGGCGCCGCCGCCGTCGCCGCCGTCGCCATCAACCTCATCGTGTCCGCCGTCAACGCCCACAGAGAAAAGCTCAAGAAGAAAAAAGGTAGGGCCCTAGCTCTCGACTTACGGTATATTCTCTCTTATTTGCTTCTAATCTCAGCTTATTTAGGGCTCGCGGGGACAAATGTGCGAATCAATCTCTCCGCATCCGAGATCAAGAGACTGGCTGATGATATTATCGCGAAATCGAAGGAGGTTTATGATTCTGTAGCTTCGGTTCCCCTCGAGAAAGTATGTGATTCGTTTGATTTTGGTGCTTTCTGGGTTATTTGCACTTTAATATCTTAAAGTGTCACCATTTTGAACATTGATAAGTTGACCTTCTATTTTGACAGTTTGATACCCCAAAGTGCGAAAAAAAAACAGTCGGCGTTAAATTTTGTTCAAGAATGTCAACATAGAAAAGTGAATGAGGAACAGATTTAAAAAAAAACAGTCGGCGTTAAATTTTGTTCAAGAATGTCAACATAGAAAAGTGAATGAGGAACAGATTTTCTTAACCAATTTTAGTGTTAAATTTTGTTCAAGAATGTCAACATAGAAAAGTGAATGAGGAACAGATTTTCTTAACCAATTTTAGTCTTTTGAGTTTGGTGAAAGTCAGGAGCAAAGTTAGGGCTTGGGTATCAAATTGTCAAATTAATGTCAATTTGAATACTTTGGGGTTATCAAGTTAAAGGGGGAAGCTTTGGTGTATCTGATTGCAAAGAGGCCTTCTTTTGATTTATTTGGTGTTGAATGTCGTTAGTTATCTTACAAATTTGAGCTTTGTGAAGGTTACATATATGAATGTTATAGCGCCGCTGGCAGAGCTCGAAGCATACCAGTTTCCCTTAGTGCAGTCTTGCCTGTTTCCGAAGAAGGTGTCTCCTTTAGAAGATGTTAGAAAAGCGAGTTCCGACGCTGAAATAAGATTGGATTCTTTCTTTTTGATGTGTAGGTGCGGATTCCTTTACATTTTATTGTTATTCATTACACAGACTCATTATTGGTTGTTGCTAAATAGATTGAGTTTAATGTTTGCAAACTTCATATTCTTTGTGTTTGTTGTCACTTTGAGGCAGAATGGTCGTTACCGTATTACGAATGAACAAAAGGATTCATATATTTACCACAAAGAACCTTGATGAATGGTATTCTATTAAAGGATTATTTTTTGAGGAAACAGCAGGATAATGCCCTCCTACATTACGTTAAGAAAATCATAAAGAAATAAGAACTAAGTAAGAGAGGGAAAATAGAAGTATACATGCATAGCCACTCCATCCAACTAAACTAAAACAACCACCAAATCCAGAATGCAAGATTACCAGGCGCGAAACCCCAAAAAATAAAAAAATAAAAAATTATGTGCGTGATATACTGCCAAAAGGTGTTGAGGAATTCACAGGTAGTTTAGGTGTGATCCGGGTCAGATTGTCCACAAGTCTCATCGCGTGTGGAAGCTTGCCGATCAACGACACTAATCATGTTAAAAGGATCATGTCAGCAGTATTGTGGCTCTAGACTTGGCAACTGGATTATCACATGATCACTCAATGTCTTTGATACTTGCTTAAGAAGTATGGACAAATTTTCAAAACCGTCCTATTTACAAACATATTCCCCAAAAACGACCCGTTTCAACTTTATTTGCCCAGGGCTGAAACTAGGTTGGTTTTGGCGAAAAAAGTTCACAAACTTCACGGGTTTATCAGCCATTTAACTAAGCTGCAAAATTTCTCGGGACTTCAAGTCCCGTGAAATTTCATAGTTTAATAAACTTCATGGGACTTGAAGTCCCGTGAAGTTTATTAAAGTGACCAAAATTTTACGCGATTCTACTTCTAAAATTATGCAACTAGCCCCTCGACTTCTCAACAAATTTACACAAAAAAATATATGTACTTACTTGCTACTAACTAGAGGGTACACTAACATAGGCCCACCAATCTCATCCTTCAAAATCCCATCCTTTAAAATATTCTACTTGCTACTAACTAGAGGGTACACTAGCACGTGGCTCGGTCTCGGCCCTCTTCACACGTGTGAGGAGCTCCACGTAACCCACCTCTGCGTTGAACTCCAACTCGCGCACATCTCGGCCGCTTTCTGCAAGGAGGAAAATAAATTTAAACAAACTTCACGGGACTTCAAGTCCCGTGAAGTTTATTAAACTATGAAACTTCACGGGACTTGAAGTCCCGTGAAGTTTCAAGTCCCGTGAAGTTTAGTAGCTTGGTTAAATACCTGTTAAACTTCATGGGACTTCAAGTCCTGTGAAGTTTCGTAAGTTTTTTCTTCAAAACCGACCCAGTTTCAGCCCGACGGCTAAAACTAGGTCGGTTTTGAAGAATATTTTGAAACTAGGTTGTTTTTTGAGATTATTTTTGCAAATAGGACGGTTTTGAAAATTTGTCCTAAGAAGTATATCTTACGGAACATGTATTGTTCTGTTCATTCATCCCATTGTGATAGATGGAAAAGTATAAAAACAATTTTACTTTGATAAGGCAGCAATTCTACATGACTGGACTTGGTTCATCTGAACAGTAGGATCTTTGTCGGGTGTGGCTGTAATCAATATTTTCTTGTGAAGTGAACTCATTGGACTACAAGCTAAATATTGTACACAAAAATATGTCAGTTGAAGATTAGAATGGAGCATTTATGACTAGGTAGTAAGGATTGAGAAGGGAAAAGGGGGCTTACATTTGCCTTTTGATGTACACATGGGAAGTTTCCCCCACCTTCTTTAACGACCATGTGCCGCTTCATCATATGCATTAGGCTTTAGGCCTGCTAGCATATTAATGAGTTCTATCATGGTTCATCCACACTCCCTTATTTTGTAGCATAATAATTGCTTGACGTCCTTTACTCTCTACTTTTGTTCTATGGTATGTTGTGTTCACTGTTTCAAAATTACAGAAGCCTTTTTTTTCTATGTTTCCCCCCATGATTCTTCTATGAGATTATCTTTGAGCAGTATATCATATAAGAATTCAAAATAATAACAATAACAATAACAAGAGCAAGCCTATCAGATTATCTTTGAGGAGTAGTATATCATATAAAGAATCCAAAACAACAACAACAACAACAACAATAACAATGACAAGACCAAGATCAAGACCAAGAAGACCAAGACTAACAGCAAGAGCAAGAGCAATAATAATTCACTGTCAGTATGATTAGTATCAAAAGAATTCTGCTTCAACGTTGCCATTCTATTCAAAAGTGCACACAACTACCTATAGTCTTCATCACCATGACAGCAATCAAATGCAACCGTATCAGCTCGTAAGACTATATGGTAACTGATGCCATTTATTGGTTACATGCAAAAAAGCAGAGAAAAAGCAACATGAAATAATTGAGCCCTCGTATCCCTGTGCATTTTCAGCAATTTTTTTACTGGAAGTTTATGAAAGAAACTTGGCTGTTAAGAGATTGTTAGATTAGTAATTCATTTTATCATGTTAGACTTTGTATTATAAGTTTCTTGGTATTTCATGCAAGGTGATCAGAAAGCGTGAAGATGTATATCGTGTCATTAAGGCATTTGTTGAAAAAGGAGAGTGGTTAGGCCCTGAAGCCAAACAATATATACAGTGCTTGGTATGTAACTATGACAGATTTTTCTACAACATTTCCATAACTCTCTGATATTTCTTGATTTACTTTGTTATTAAATAGTTATAATAGCCTATCAGATCATTTTTAATTAGCATTCCTGTTTACCTTATTCAACTGTAGTCTTTACCTGAAGGGCTGTTTGAGTTCTTTGTGAAGCGTGTATGGATGTGAAATAATTGTTCCATAAATTCTGCGAAGAGATAGCCCTTTGAAGTTGGGCTTTTCTGTAGAAAAAAGTAGATGGCAATAATCTTTTGTGCTTCTGCAACTGCAGTATGAAAACACACATCATTTAATAAGGATTCAGCCACTGTACATCTTTGTTTATGATAGTAAGAAAAGTGATAAAAGCCCTCTGAAGTTGTCACACACGAGAATCCTTTTTTCTTCATCCAGTGGCAGTAAGGTCCATCTTCCATTTACTAGTTATTAAATGTTGTTTTCTCTTAACCTCCCCTATTCCCTATTAACAAACCGGTGATCTATGTCTCTTTATATAAAAAAGAGAATAATCCAGAACAGATATGTATGTTGGATGTTCCGTTTGGCAGATCTTAATGCTATTTGGATCCACGGGAAAAAGTATGTCAGTGCCCATATCATCTGTGATCTACAATAAACTCCTGCCATTAGATGCGGCTTTGCTATTTTAGTACCAAATTGTCAACAGTGAATTTAATATCATAAAATTGAATGTTTGGAATTGCACAAAGTACTTTTTTGAATTGTGCTTCTTCTTAGTAGAAACAAACATTTTTATCTCAATCATGATTATAGTTATTTTTTTTTAATTTAAAGTTCAACCTCTCCAAGAAGCAATGGTAGTTTCATTGAATTATACAATTTAGTACTTGAAGTGTATTATAAACTCAAATGATGTGGGGATAACCGACAACCCTTGATACTTAAATTGTTAGGATTTGACCTTGAATGTGATTTGATTTTGAATAGGATTTGGTCTTGATTCAAGTTTAAAACTTATCCAATAGTCTATTTAGAACTTCGTCTTAGATTTTTATCTCATATTTTTTTCATTTTCCTTTTTTTTGGGTCAACAAATGCAATACAAACAAAATGAGCTATCAGCATGAGCTCAAAAGCTTGCAATTTTGTGAGTTTGCTGGAAAAGCTTTCACTTTCCAATCTTCTATTCCTGCTAAGGTTTTAAATGTCGGATGTCGGGTTCATGTCAGACGGCTGAAATCCATGCTGGATAGCGAAAATCAGGGATATATCGGGGGACATGGACTAAATATCGAATTACCATATCGGGTGGTGCACATATGTATAATATCATGTCCTAAATATAATCTAAGCATTCCTAAATTCATTATAAGCATACTTTATAAATTCTAGAGGCAGCGTCGGCAATAAGTGGATTCCGACGTTGTGGGAGGTAGCGGCGGCGACGAGACGTCGCAGGGAGGCAGTGTCAGGGCTCTTCTTCTTCTTCTTTATTTGCTCGGGGTCCTTCGGATGAGTCACCGACCACCCTCTTTCCTTTATCCCGATGACGAGATACCCTGCCGTCCTCGGGTTCGGTTGGGATTCGGATTTTGAGGCGCAACGGGAGATGGACGACGATAGTCCGAGATGGAGGTGGGGGAAGGACATCGTTATTCACTAAAGGAGTGATCGGTTCCGAAGTCCGCTGTAGCCCTAATTTTTCTCTTTTCTTTCTATCGGGTTCATAAGAAACCATTAAACATGAGAACGGGTCAAACGAGTTTGGGTTTTTATCACTAAACCCAAACCCGATAACAAAAAACAGATCTAAAAAAAGGGCCATATCGGTTGATTTTTTAAGGCTGGAAAATCGGTCGATATGCCTGATATGACCTTGATATTTCTGATTTGGCACTAAAAACCGATATACGAGTTGAAAACGTCCATGTCGTGTCGCTCAAGCCCTCAAACCGACATTTCGG